AACCATCACAGGGCCAAGCAGGGTGATATGAGGGAGGCAGGGTCTGCACCCCTGCCAGGGGGACAGGTTTCGTCTCCTCAGCGTCCTGTTTTCCCAAGGCCTCCTTGATTATTTCCAGCCTTGGGGCCCTCTTGCCTGTCGGCAGGGCTACAGTTCCTGAAGCCAGACAGGCCCTTTCCCAACAAAACAAAGTTATTCTTTAGGAAAAAAAAATGTTATAGATAAGGCAAAATGGAATTCTAACAAAATGTTCAAGTAATCCACAGGAAGGCAAAGGAAAAAAAAAAGAAAGAAAGAAAAACAGAGAGAACAAAAAGAAAACAGAAATTAAATGGCAAACTTAAGATACAACATAGCTATAATAAATATAAGTATTCTAAATACCCCAATTGAAAGACAGGGATTGGCAGAAAATATGACTCAACTATATGCTGTCTACAAGAAACTCCAAATACAACAATATTAGCAGATTGAAAAGTAGAAGAAGGGAAAAGATATACTATGTGCTGATTAATTAAAAGAAAGCAGGAGTGGCTATATTAATATCAGATAAAGGGACATCAGGACAAAGTAAATTACCAGAGACTGAGAGGGACATTAGAGATAAAAGGGTTAATCTACCAAGAAAACATGGCAGTCCTAAAAGTGATAGAACTGAAAGGAGAAATAGATATATCACAATTATAGTTGAAGGCTTCAACACCTACCCCCCAAAATTTATAGAACAATTAGACAGAAAATCATCGAGGATATAGAACTCAATACTATCAATCAATAGCACTAATTAACATTTATGGAACACTGTCCTAAAACAACAGCAGAACACATTCTTTCACATGCCCAATGAACATATGAAATTAAACCATATCCTGGGGTATAGAACAAATTTGAAAGAACTGAAGATATACAGAGTATATTTTCAAACCAGGTTAGAATCAAGTTAGAAATCACTAACAGAAAAATAACAAATCTCAAAATACTTAGAAACTAAACAATATATTTCTAAATAATCCAAAGGTCAAAGAAGTCATCTCAAAGAAACTTTTCAAAACACATTGAAATGAGCCCTGGCTGGTGTGGGTTGAGCGCTGGCCTGTGAACTGAAGGGTCACGAATTCGATTCTCAGTCAGGGCACATGCCTGGGTTGAGGGCCAGGTCCCTAATTTGGGGCTTGTGGGAGACAACCCATCGATGTTTCTCTTACATGTCAATATTTCTCCTCTTCTCTTTCTCCCTCCTCCTCTCTCTAAAAATAAATAAATAAATAAATAAATAAATAAATAAATAAATAGAATTTTTAAAGTACATAGAAATGAGTAACCATGAAAAATGAACGTACCAAATTTCGCCCCAGCCAGTGTGGCCCAGTTGGTTAGAGTGTCATCCAGTTACCAACTAAATCATTGCAGGCTCGATTTCTGGTCAGAGCACATGCCTAGGCTGATGTTTCATCCCAGGTCCAGGCAGTATGGGATGCAACCGATCGGTGCTTCTCCCTTGTGTTGATGTTTCTCTCTCTCCCTTCCTTTCTCTCTCTCTCTCTCTCTCGCTCTCTTTCTCTCTCTCTCTCAAAACAATGAAAAAATGTCCTAGGCTGAGATTTTTTTTAAAAGTTTGTGGGACATAGTTCGACCTTTCTGAGGCAGTGCTGGGAGGGAAATTTCTAGCACTGATTTATAGCACATACATTAAAAAATAGGAAAGGTCTCAAATCATTATCTAAGCTCTTACTTCAAGAAACTAGAAAAAGAGCAAAGTAAACCCAAAGCAAGAAGCAGAAGAAAGTAATAAAGAACAGAAATCAATGTAATTGAAAACAGAAAAACAATAGGAAAAAAAATCAATAAAGCAAAGAGCTGTTTTCTTGAGAAAGGTCAATAAAATTGACAATCCTCCAGCAAGACTGACAATGGAAAAGAGAAAGTAAACACAAATTAGGAAAGTAAACCAACATTAGGAATCAATGCAGAGCTATCACGACAAACATCAAAAAGATAATAAGGAAAGAGAAACAGAAACAACTCTACAAGAAATAAATTTGACAGATAAAATGGACCACTGCCTCAAAAAACACAAACTACCATAACTCATCCAATATAAAATAAATGATTTGAATAGCATTATAACTATTAAGGACATTGAATTCATAATTTTAAAAGCCAAAGAAGAAGTCCACAGGCCCAGATGGCTTCACCATATAATTCTACCAAACATTTAAAAACAGAATTAACATTAATATTTATATATTTATATTATAACCATGATATACCAAAACCAAAGACAATTTTAAAAGGAAAACTACAGACCAATATTTTTCATGAGTATAGAGGCAAAAAAAAAAAAACACCTTAAAAATATTAGCAGATAAAATTCATAAATACAATTACACTACACAACCCATAGATGCAAAGTTGGTTCAATATTCAAAAAAACCCCAAAAACATGTAATTCACATATCAACAGACTAAAGCAGAAAAATCACAAGGTTATAACAATGGATGCAGAAAAAGCATTTGTCAAACTTTGACCCATTTATGATTGTAACTGTCGGAAAGAGGAATAGAGAGGAACGTCCTCAATTTAATATAAGAACACCTACAAAAATGACAAATATCTACTTAATAGTGAAAGACTGCTTTGCCCTAAGGTTGGAACAAGGTGAGGATGTCTGTTCTTACTACTCTCATTCAACATAGTGTTGAAATTCCCAGCCACTACAACCAAGCGAGAAAAGGAAGTAAAAAGCACCCAGATTGAAAAGAAATAAAGCTGTCCCTATACGTGAATATCATTGTCTACCTAGAAAATCCCAAAGAATCTACAAAAAGTTGATAAATATAAAAAAATTTTTTAAACTGAGTTCATCAAGGTCACAGGACAAAAGATAAATATACAAAAGTCAAATGTATTTATAAATATTACCAGTGAACACATGGATAGATATCAAAATTTAAAATAACACCACTTATAACTACTTGAAAATGAAATTCTTGGTATAAATCTCAAGTACATGTATAAGATTTGTATGCTAACAACTACAAAATGCTGATGAAAGAAATCAAAGATAATCTAAATGGAGAGACACACTATGTTCTTGGATTGAAAGGCTCGAACTAGCAGAGATGTTGATTTTCCCCAAAGCAATATAGAGGTTTAAAGCATTTCCTTTTAAAATATCAGCAAGATTTTTTACAGATATAGAGAAAACTTTCTTCTAAATTTTTTGTAGAAAGGCAAAGGAAGTAGAAGAGCTAAAACAATTTTTAAAAAGAGAATAAAGCAGAAAGAATCAACCTACCCAATTTCAAGACTTACATAACAAAATGAAAAGCTGCTTAACAATAAAATCCAGCTAACCAAAGATGAATCAAAATAAATTTCATGTATAGAAAAGTTTATTGATGAGCATTGCATCAGTTTAAACATACAACTATGAAAAAACTATAGGAATAGTTGTTTCAGGGCAGAACATAAATGTTATACCTTGACATTAAAAACATCACATATTTTCCCTGGCTGGTGTGGTTCAGTGGATTGAGTGCTAGCCTGAAAACCAAAGGGTCGCTGGTTCAATTCCCAGTCAGGGCACATGCCCGGATTGCAGGCCAGGTTCCCAGTACAGGGTGCGCAAGAGGCAACCACACATTGTGGTCTCTCTCTTTCTCCTTTCCTTCCCCTCTCTCTAAAAATAAATAAATAAAACCTTTTTAAAAATAAATAAATAAAAAGATCGCATATTTGAAAATTGCCAGGAGAGCAAATCTTATAAGTTCTCATCACAAGAAAAGAAATTTTGTAACTGTGTATGGCAGTGGATGTTAACTAGAATTACTGTGGTGATCATTTCACAGGGCATCCAAATATTCAAATTAGGTTGTATACCTGAAAATAATATCATGTTATCTGTCGATTATACCTCAGTTTTTAAAGTGACATAGGAAATAAAGGATAGGAAAAAAATGAAGAGTGCTAATTTCTGCAGCTTGCATAGCAACAAACAATCAATACTTTATATAAAAAAGATTAAGTTTTAAAGACTGCTCCAGCCTCCTAGTGTTTTCCTTTTTAAAAAATAAAAATAAATAAGTCTTTCAGGAAATAAAATCCTTTGTGATAGAAAAGCTTTTGAATATTTCAACAATTCTTTGTTTCACTTTAAGTTTCTTCACTTTGCTAAGATCAAGCAAACTTAAATCCAAATATTTTAACAAATAGCCCCTGTAGTATGATTCTCTTATTAAATTGTCTGTATATAAATTCTTACATCTTTCTATATAAGAGGATGACTAGAAGGATGGTCACCATTTAATGTTAGTCATGGTAATTTCTGGCTGGATGTGATCCATTTTTATTTGCTTAGTGCTGTGCTTTTCTGCTTAGTTTGAATTCTTTATGATGAGTATGTACCACTCTTATAAAATAAGTCATAATGATTTAATCTATTAAAAGCTTTAGAAATAAACTAATTTTTTAAAAAGGGAATTATTTCTCTTAAGGAGTAATTTCAAACAAGCTCTCACTGGCCTTATTATGAAATAAGTGATGGCAAGTAATAAAGTAGAACCAGAAACTCTATTATGAGGATCATTTTCCCTAAATGATGATCTACTTTTTGTTTAAATGGCTAATGAAGAAACACAAACTTTTAAAATTTTCTTGCAACAAACTGAACAAGGAATATATTAAAAACACAATATATTTATTTAAATTGTTACTTTTCATAATTCATTGAATCTTACCACAGGTATCTTCATTCTATTACCTTACTGAGTACATTTGTTAGTGTTACATAAAACTTTATATAAAATTAAATAAGAATTAAAAGTACAGCTAAGAACACAGTCATGATTTGTGTGAGAGGATTCACTGTCATGCACGCTTGTCTCTACTGTCACTATTTTTTCTGTTTCATGGGCCTCTCCACCTTACACTACTTCCAGTTTACAGAAAATAAAACGGCCCCTTTGAGCTCTTTCGCACTGAGTTCCCAGCCATTGCCTCATCGGTTTGTGTTCACCCAGTGGTACCTGTCTACCCGGCAGAGAGCCACAGGCCTGTAGCCCTTACGGTTCCTTCGCAATGTGTGACAAGCATTTCCTAGGAAGCTCAGACGGCCTTCAGCCAGATTCTTTTTGCTGGGGATTTGGAACCAAGAATGAAAGGGCTGTTTCAAGTTTTCAACCTGGGGAGGATAAAGAAGGAAAAGGGGGTAGTATAAAGATCTTCTGTAAACTAGTAAGCTAGTAAGGATTAAATAAAACCAGTAACTCAAGTTAAATCTGTCAAAAGTATAGGAAGTACAAATGAAGAAAAATAAAAATAAATAATTATCTTTGAAAAATTGACAAGCATTTTGGTTGTTATAAAGTCAACTTCATACTTTTTAACAAAGTTAATTCTTAATCCAACTAAAACTTTTTTAAAAAACACTTAGGCAAATTTTTACATATTTTTAAGTTCTCCCCTACCTTACCCTGCCTCATTTGTGGAACCCAAAACTGTCTAATCATGATCTCTGAGACCTGGAGTGGAGGTCTAGAGATATCCACTTAAAGATCACAGATGACCAATACAAATATTTTGCAGACTGTACTTTGAAAGGATACTGCTCTAGAAGAATATAGGTGTCTACAGATCTGATCCTTAGATAGAAGATGACCTTTCTAAGCCTAAAAATAGAATAAAGGGCAAATGTTTCACTATATTGTAAGCTTTTATGCATATAGAACTAAACATAAACTATATGTGTAGTTTAGAAAACTAAGCAAGCTAGAGAAAAAAAGTATTTTCCAGTAATATGACAAGGAGTTAAAAAATGCTTCTAAAGTTTGAAGAGCCTGTACTAATATTGGGCTGGCCAAAAACTGTGTGGCTTTTTTCTGTAAAATAAAATACACATTTTTTCATTTTCACCAATAACTTTATTGACTTGGATATTTTGAGTATGTTGGCTATGTCCCACGTGGTATAACATTGATTGTTCTCAATGTCTCAATTTGATCGCTGTCAACTTCAACTGATCTACCCAACTGTAGAACATTGCCCAGCAAGAAGTCTTCTGCACGGAACTTCACAAACCACTTTTGACACGTTCAATCAGTCCCAGAACCTTCTCCACACACTGTACATAACTTTTTTTGCGTTTCATTTGCACTTTTACCTATCTTGAAATAATAAAGCATGACATGCCAAAAATGTTGCTTACTTTCTTCCATCTTCAATATTAAAATGGCTACACAAAAATTCAATTATGATAAGTTTTTTTAATGTATGCTGATATGACAGCTCTCACAATACAATCTAACAAAATTGTTTCAAATGGAGTTAAAAAAGAAAAAACAAGTAAATTCTACTAGAGAGCCGATTTCCCCCCTGCCCCCTCCACACCCGAACAAACTTTTTGGCCAACCCAGTACATTCAGATCTCGAACTTTTTGGCCAACCCAATACATTCAGATATCCAATGATAAATAGATGAAAGAGAAATTCAAAAAGATATGTTAAACATTTAGGGACATGGAGATTTCTTTAATTTTTCAATTTAATTAATAGTATCTGTAATAGTATTGTTATCAAACTATTTTTAACTGAGAATACACGATTTTAGGAAAAATGGTAAACACTTTCACATAAAGCTGGTTAGACTACAAATAAACACAACTTTCTAAAAGGTACTTTGGCTGTATATTGAGAAGGAGTAAAATGTCCATACTCAGTGACCCAGTAATTCCATGCTTGAGAATCAAATTTCCAGAAATAATTTAAAATTCATACATCTCAGTACAAGTTCTTTTTTTAATATCACAACAATGTAGAAACAGTCTAGATATTTGCCAATAATAGGTTAAGTAAATTACTAGGAAAGCAAATGAATATTAAAATTTTAAATAGTTAAATTGCTTTAACATGTTAATACATAAGTGATTATTTTAAGGAAAAAATACCAACAAGTATATACATACAAAGTATCAACACAGATCTCTCTAGATTACTGTTTTTCAAACTGGGGGTTACCACCATTAGTGAATCATGAAATCAATTCAGGTGGTTGAAATCAATTTAATTTAATACAAAGGGTTAGGAGCATTGTACCTAGTAAGGATATACAAGTATTGTTTCATGAAACCTATTTCTAATATAAAGTTGTGTATATCTTTCTATGGGTTATGGTAAAAAAAATTAAGAAAATACTGCTCTAATGATGAGATTGCAGACCTTTGGTTATTTCTTAATTTTCCAAATTACCTATGAGTGGTACGTTATATTCTGTTATCAAAAAAAAGCCAACTAATTTTAATATATAATTCTAAAGAAATTTAGGTAAAAGAAAGCTTATGCTCAAATACTATACAGAAAAATGGGACTGCAAAAGATGGTATAGATCCTGAGCACTCAACCAAGGAGAGGAAATATAAATAAAAGAAAGAAAAACAAAAAACATTTTGCCAGAACATCAAAATTGTTTAAAATTGTGATTTTAAATCTTTGTAGTGTTGTTTTTTCCATGTTTTTCAATTGTTGTTTCTTTGCTTTCATACTGAGCATATTCATTTTAGAATTGGAATTGGAATAAAAGTATACAGAAGAACTGGAACATACTTTACCTTATAAATACTCTTTGGGTTGCTGACTTTAGGAATTATCTGAGGTTCTTTGTTACAACTTTCTTCATCAGAGGACGGGCCGGAGGAGTAGTCTAGTGTGGATCTACTGACAGCGTCTCGGATTCGTTGGGAGAGCTCCCACTCCTCCCACCTGCCTTTGAAAGAAGCCACTGTAAATGGATGATTTTTCTCACCATACCTAAGTAGGAAAGGAGAGAAAAGTATTCAATTGGGATTCAGCATCTCACAGTTTTATCTCAAATCTTTTCTGGAGACAATTCACTAACTTACAAAAAGTTATTTTGAAAAACGAATTGAAATGACTTAATAGCAAAGTAAGTTGAGAGACATTATAATTTTCAGCTACTACACTGTTGTAATTAGTGGGGGTATTTCTGTAAGAACTATCGCCATTAATTGCTCAGAAAAAGATAAAGTCTAGTTTCTTTTTGATCCAAATAATGGACTGAATTGCCCCATGATAAATAACTCCTCTTCCTCCTTGATTCTGCCTATAATACTTAGACATTATAATCTATTGTTGTTAATAGGGTGCAGGGATTAAAATCAAATTTCAACTATTATGCAAAATCTTTGTGCTTCCCACTCCTGCTGGAAATCTATGTTATCTAATAAAGTTGGCATCTAAAATCTTAACCAACCAGCCCTCTGCGCTAACCCAGGGCTTTGGAACATCATCTTTCACAAAGGTGTACATAACTGACTAAACAACCTGTTTCCAAGCTGTCAGAGAAAACAAACTCTTACTTCCAATAAGACTACTCACCTACAGCAAACTTCAAAGGGATCTACCCATATTGTCATCTCCTTTGGAAGTCCAAGGTGAGAAAAATCCACATTACTCTCAGCACAAGCCCTTTGTAGAATGGGATCTTTATTCTGACTATTGTTTATCCTGATACACCTTTAAAAACAAGGAAAGGGAAACAAAGGCATGGTGACAGGTGCTTTAACAGGAGAGTCATGTTGTAGGCATACTGCTGCAATACACACAGCTCCCACCTCACCCCTGCCCTCCCCTAACCCCTTCCTGATCCTCCAGTCTTACAAGTAAGAGTGAAACACCAACTTTTAGTTCACTGAACATTCACTGTGTATCATTCATGGTAAATACAAGTTAGAAATTGCTTAAGTTTGTACTGTAGTATTCAACTGCATTATCGTCTATGTATCTCTTTCTTTCAAGCCCACATTCAAATTTGGATCCATAAAACTTTCATTACTTATAGACTGCCCACAGAATCATGGCTGATGCTTGTTACTTCCCTTTCGTACCACATTCTAGCTCTCACCTGAAGGCTTGCCCCTTGGAAGGACACTCAGAGTGCCAGTGACTTTTGTATGTTTCAAACAAGATAGTCATCAGCTTTTCTGCAAAGTTTTCTATTTGTTGTTTACTCAATTTATCATGCTTTTTCACCAATCTTGTGACAAAGAAAACTGTTGTTGCAATTTCATCTCTCATGATTCAAGAAAAAAAAAATCTGTGAGGAGGTCTGCAACCATTAAAAGGAAGCAAGAATAAATTAAATAGAAACAAGGGCCTAACTTACCAACATGTAATTGCTATTAGGAAATGTTAGATACATTAAATTTAAAACAAGTTATTTGCTAGTTCTTAATGAGCTAAATAAGCACATTAATTCTATCAATCAACAAAACAGCCAAAAATACCACTTCCTCAACTAGCCAGTTTTTAACTATTTTCAAAGGAAAAACATCTTTTCTAACTTTAATATACTTAAGAAACAAATGAAATATGCAACTTAAATAAAAGAAAAAGTCTTGATATAGGACAGTAATTACACCAAGCACCACTTTTTAAAAACATTTACAGAGAGCAAAAATATTTCAGGATATAGCATAGCTTTAAAATGTGGATCTCAAGTTGCACACTTTAAGTAAAAGTTAAGATTAATCAAACATATCATACTTGCCAGCAAAAATTCTTTAGTCCCAACAAAGAGTGGATGAGAGAAGACCAACTATGCTTTAAGTTTCCAACTCTTACCAGCACCTGTTCTGTTAGTTTTTGGCTGAATCTATATAAGCCTGGGCCCCAAAGCCTGGTGAGTGTTTAACCATACACAGGTACTGTAATTTAGGATAATCAGCTTTTTTGAGGTCCCCATGAAATTGCTCCTTGTCATAGGTAGACTGGATTATTTATTTAAAGTGTTTAAAGATTTTAAAACTGGAGTTGTACCTTCCATTTTACTTTTAAAGTCCTACCTTTTTGACAGATTGAAAATCTAGCCTTCTCCTTCCATACCCTAACATCCTACATTCCAATAATTTCATCTCTAATTGTAACTGCCAACATATTAAAGAATTTTGTCTTGAACCTTTTATAAAACTTATAACAACTTTCTCTGAACAGTCGTATGTTGACTACATGCATTTTTTACTAAAACATGTATTTGTGAAATGAGTAGAAGATATCTCAGTTTATCTAGTCTCACCAGTTCTCAAAGTGTGGGTCACGGACCACCTGGTTGAGATCTTCCACGTAGCTTGTTAAAAAGACAGATCCTTGGAACTTATCCCAGATATACTGAGTCAATACTTCTAAAAAGTGGGGTCTGGAAATTAGTATTTGCCAAGTTCCCCCAGGTGATTCATATACCCACTAAAAGTTAAGAACTATCACACCTGACCAATAAGCCTTTTAACACCCACAGTAAGTGGTCATTCAAGTTCTTGTCAATGAAAAAGTATTCATTCTCTTACAAGGAAGCCCATTTCATTTCTAAAACACTCCAACCACCAGGCAGTCCTTCCTCCCTCTGAGGAGCCAAGCTCACCTTAGTGATTCTCTACATGCACAGCCTAATTTTTCCCTTTGAATTGAATCGAACCCTCCACCAGGTGAAGGCACTTTAAATACTAGCTTTTCAGCCATCTCTGAGTCTCCTCTTTAGGGGCTACTCTCAGCTTTCTAACAGTCCTTTAAAAATGTTACTCAGAGCCTTCACCAAGCTTGGCACTCACCTCTTGCTAAGTTTCAGGTGTGTGGATAGCCCTCTTTTAAAGTGTGGAGCCCAGAATCACACATAGTGCTCCAGGAGTACTCTGCCACTGCAGATGAGAGTGAGACAGTCACCTCTCTTGCTTTGAATGCTGTATTTCTACAATGAAGCTTCAGGTTGCATTTACCTTGGTGGCAGTAGCATCATACCACTGCCTCACATTGAACATGCAAGTAGTCTTTTTTTTTTTTTTTTTTTTTTTTACTAATACTGTTGTTTTGTCACATCTTTATCTTCTTGCATGGTATAACATTCAAGAAAATGGGCTTTGGAGTCCGATCTGGGTGTGAAATGCAACTTTACAAGTTGCTATCTGTAACCTTGAGCCACTAGCTAAACCTCCTGAACTTTCCATTTCCTGACATTGAAGTAGCAACTTCCTAGGGTTGTTATTAAGATTACAATTATTAATGTGTTAAAGCAACTGACCTAACTTAGTTATCTAGCAGTTTAGAAATCAGCTATAAAAATCAAGTACCATGAATGAATCCCAGTCCTTATCTTACTAGAAACTTGGGGAAGTCTCTCAACTTCTCTATCCTTCAGAACCTCATCTGTAAAAGGGGAAGGAAGTATACCTAAGGCCTTGGAATCAGATGGCCAGGTTTGGATCCTACCTCAATTTACTGTGTAAGTTAGCAAGTTACTGTGTTAATTTCTATGTGCCTCAATTTCCTAATCTATATAAAGAAAACAACAGTAGCGCCCATTTTGTAGGGGAGTTGTGAGAATTAAGTTAAATTACCTAGACCAGCACCTGGTACTCAAGACGTGCTCTGTAAATGTTAGATACTACTACTAGTTGTAGCATAATTTTCATGCTACAGTACTGCTATTGTCTTATGAGTTTCTTGTCAAGATTACATTTAAAAATTACATGAAGCATTTAGCAGAGTGTCTGGCATATAATATGTGCTCAAAAAGTGAGAGCCTTTCTTATTAATAAATAAGTTTATATTTATCATTTTATTATGTCTTTTCTAATGCTTTGTGGATTAAGTGGAGTATAAAACCTAATTGCAGCCATACCTACCATATTTTATTGTATTAAATTCAGACCATCACTAAAGAATTGAGATTATTTGTGACCCCGATTTTTGTCTTCTAATAAATTCTTTTAACTTTTTGGCTACCTGCTATCTATAAATATAACAAGAATGTGTCATGCTACAAGTAATGAATTAAAAGGTTGAAGAGGCTAAAAATCAAGCAGTATGCTTTCACAAAATCTAGTGACTCAAACACACATTAGAACATATTCTAGAAAGAGCTGCAAGGATATTTTTTTTAAAGTTATTTTGTAGCCTGTTTACAGTAACAGTAGTATTATTATTTTGAAACATATGGGGATAGATTAGGGGAATACAAATATTTACTTTAATGTTGTTATGAACTAAGCTTTTTAATGTAAGGAAAAGGAGATAAAAGTATAAAATCAAAGAAGTAAAAATCCTATAATGTTAAATTTGAAATGGCAAGATTAATATGAACTTGTGAGTTTTTTCTTTTCAAAAAAGTGTATATTAGTTTTGTCCATTGAAAAGGCCTTGAATTAATAAATAATCCTAACATTCATTTTGTGGTCTCTAAATACCTCCTTTTTTAAAAAAAATCCTTGGAGAAATAGCAGATTACAGTTCTAGTTCATGTGATATATTAGAAGAGGCTGGAATTGTTATACCAGAAAGCAAGGAAACTATACAAAACCAATGGTCATGTCAAAAAACACAAAAGCCCACACAACGTACTCCCAGTGGTCAAAGATAAGTCATTTTGAACTTTGTAATAGATACTGTGGTCCTTCAACCAGTTCCCCTCTTCAGGGTCAACACAATTATCCTCCAACTGATGGAAGTATTTTATCAGATACTGTTGGCTCACAGCTGCATTCTTCATTGGGAATTGCTCTGAGAAACTACCTCAGAGTAAAGTTATCTGCCCCCTCCTCCATTGACAGGCTAATGTGGAGACAGAAAAACCTGGCCATCTTGCCTCAATTTGCAGCAACTCTGAAGGGCCATCCATCTCCAGAGCTCGTCATGAAATAAGCCGAGGCCTCAATTGCACTCACCTACTGGTCCATCTCTTTCTCTGCCCAGTCCTATCTTTCTCACTCCTTTATGGGTGTATCTTTCAAAAGGTCTCTCCAGTAAACTTTCTGCATGCAACTCGCATCTCAGAGTCTATTTCAAAGAAACCCAATCTAATACAATTTGTAGCAGGAATGTTTTAAGGAAGCCGACTCTAAAATGGGATTTTGGAGATGGATTACTTGCATGCTGGCTAGAATGAAAACCTCATTGCTAGTGGTAGTAGAATATGGATATAGATGGCTTCTGGCATGCTGGAGAGGTGTGATTGTTAAAACTTATCAGTGGTGGAGATGGAGTACAGATATCAGGGGGTGCATTGGCTAGTGCGGTATCTTTGATGTTCAAGAGGTATAAAAATGATAATATAAGGAATATGGAAATGGATGGCTGAGTCATCTAATAATGGCATGATTTAATAAGGCTAGTTCAATTCATTAAGTATTTAAGTGTCTACTAAATACTCAGAACATATAAAAAGAAAATAAAGGTGCGACTAGGACACTAATGATCTCTCACTTCCACAGTATCTTATTTATTTCAGCTTTCCATGATATATTTCATATCCCCCTTATTCAATTGCATGGGTTTCCAAATTGCTGCAATTTGGAATCACCTGACTATCTTTTAAAACTAGATGCCAGACTCCTACCTGATTTAATTGGGATGGAGTGCAACCTGGACATCAGGATTTTAAAAGCTCCCCAAGTAATCCTAATCCTAATGTGCAGCAAAGGCGGAAGATCATCAACATAGATCTCTCCTAGCTAGCAAAGAAATTTGAAATTTATTTTACACTTTTGATTGCTTAAAAATTCCTTAAGCTTTACAAAGATTATTAGGAGAAATTTGCATCTTATCTAGCCTTTGCTGGGATAACTTTTACAAAGATTACTTTTTAAACTTTTATTGGAAATAACAAAATTGAAAATCAGGACAACTACTCACATATTACTGAAATAAAATTTGCTTCAGAACTAAAGACAACATATGCACATACTCAAACTTTTTCTTTTCAAATTATTAGTGTTTGCAGTTATAATATTAAAGTGGTGTCAGGTATTTAATAATTCTTTTATTATTTCATCTTCTCAGAGAGCATACTGTTTTATTGGACTTTGCATTAGTAAATCACATTAGCCAATAAGGCTTTGAACCCTCTCCTAGCATTAGTTTCTGCAACAGGCCCAGGCAGGCCTTGGAAGTATGAGTACAATAGTAGGGTAACAAGGTACTTAGATTTCAGGAAAGAACAATCAAATAGAAACTAAACATCATGCAAGACTTCCTTCAGTTACTTGTTTATGATGATTTTAAACACCTAATTAAAATCATCTCCTACACAT